CAGACTCAACTGCTGAATGCAGTAACAGACAGCATTGGAGAGTATCTTATATCAAGCAGTTCTCATTTAAAGGTATTGGGCATGCAGTAGTTTGACACTGGTCAGTATCAGCCAGAGAACAGTGCATACAGTGGTACCTCTGGTTACGAACGCTTCAGGTTACGAGCTCCGCTAATCCGGAAGTAGCTGCTCCTGGTTGCGAACTTTGCCCCAGGATGCAAACGGAAATTGCGTGCCAGAGGTGCATGCGCAGCGGGAGGCCCCATTAGCAAAAGCGCGCCTCATGATAAGAAAGGTTTCAGCTTAAGAACAGACTTCCAGAACGAATTCAGTTCGTAACCCAAGGTACCACTGTACTTGGCTGCAGCAGACATGCAATTGCAACAACATTTGACAGTATCTTAATGGACATCTTTCAGTGCTAGTTAGTATATTTTAGAATAGAATCCATTGATTATTAATGCTAATCGGAGGCAAATCACATTGAAACCTGACTTTTCAAACCTGAAAATTTGTCAGGCTTTCAAGTTTTCTTTTTTTTGGGGGGGGGGATTCAGCTCTGCAGGGGAAGATGTGTTTGTCCAAAAAGACAAGTTCTTTTCTGGCCACTTAGAAAAACACAGAAGCTGGACAAGTTGAACAGCAAGACTGACACTCTGTGGCTTAGCAGAAGAAGTTCAGTGTAGATTAATCTTAATGACTTTATTTCTTTTATTCTCTTGAGAGCACTATAAAAAAACCCTGGTTGTAGGAAAATGTGCTGGAGATTTCTTCAAGAATTCACCTGTCCCAAGGCTTAAATTTTGATTTCCAACTTTATGCCTTCGGGATATTCAAATTATGTCAGTTGCTGGAGAGAGCAATTTAGTTGAGGCTGAAGCTCCTCCTCCTGATCCTGGCATGGCAGCAAGTTTTTTTTAAAACATGTTATTTTCCTTATCTGCTCACTGGAAGAGGGAGCGGAGGAGCCAGCCACCTAACAGTCATCTGACATAACGATTACCTCAGGCGATCTGACACTTTGACACTTGGTCAGTCAGCTGCTTGTTGGGACTTCAAAGCATTTGGTCTGGCCTCTTTGCCACACAGGGCAAGAGATGAAAAGAAAACCACAGGCAAGTACTCAACTCCTCTCACTTAAGTTTGGGAAACGCACACAGTTCAGTCTCCTACCCCTCATCCACAGATGTCCTCAGACGAGTTATGTATCGCCAAAATGTGAAATACTTCACCAAAAACAAAGCAAAATAGGATACCAATGTGCATACAATTTGCATGTTCTAATTTATAGGCCTAGATGCAAACTCAGAACCAGTGATTATAACTGGAATAGAAATACTGGGACTCAGCTAGACTGGTAAAGAAAAAGCGATTTATACGTGTTGTATGTGCGATATAACCTGTGCCACCAGATGGAGACATGGAGTACCGTTTTTCTCTACCTGTTTTCCCTGTTTAAATTTACAACGCTTTAAACTGTGGGTAGGCAAACTAAGGCCCAGGGGCCAGATCCAGCCCAATTGCCTTCTTAATCCAGCCCATGGACAGTCCGGGAATCAGCGTGTTTTTACATGAGTAGAATGTGTCCTTTTATTTAAAATGCATCTCTGGGTTATTTGTGGAGGATAGGAATTCGTCCCCCCCCAAAAAAATAGTCCTGCCCCCACAAGGTCCCCCCCCCAAAAAATAGTCCGGCCCCCACAAGGTCTGAGGGACAGTGGACCGGCCCCCTGCTGAAAAAGTTTGCTGACTCCTGCTTTAATCTGAAACACTTCTTTGATGTGTCTAGTTCCAGCCTTGGTGACCTCAGTCTGCTGTGTGAGTCATAAACTGTTGATGGAAAAGTTCAATGTCCCTGCTCTCTTTTCTCATGGTTCTTAATATTTAAGACTCCTTCAAGAACTGTCCCATGACGGCCATTCAGATAAGACGACAAACTCTTTCATGGTGCTAGTGGCAGACCCTGTGTCTGGAATAAGTCTCATTCCAATATTTGCATCCTTCATTGGGCTGAAGTGGTCTTCCAGACAAGACTCCACATTTGTGCTTAAGGTCAACTACAACTTTCACAGGCCTCAATACATTTTTGGTATCCAAGACAAATACTTCCCAGAGATCTAGTGTGGCACAGACTTCCTATTCCGATTTGGAAACTGGCACTGCTTGCAGATTGCAAGCTGCAGCAGCAGATAGTATTTCATCCCCAAATAAATCGGTATCCCATTATGAACAGGGGGGGAAAAACCTCTATGGCCATTCAAATTTTTCTTTTGTCTCAGACTATTAAGATCAATAGGCTATGAGAATAAACAAAAGGGGCAGTTGAACTGTTTATTTAATTTAAAAATAAAACGAGCTTGTAGAATTTAAGGAATGCTCAAAGCCACCTTAGAACCAGTTGTTGGCCACACCATTAGTACTTTTAAGCAATCAAAAAATAAATAAATTCTGGATAGGCAGCTGTGTCCGCCAACTTTTAGGTGTAAAGAACCCAACATGGCTGAGATATTAAATGTGAAAACTCAGTACGTATAGTTGAAATGCCATATTGTGACTTCAGGGCCCTGGTGCTATAATTTTTAAGAGAGCTAGCTAAGTGGTATATTAACTGCACACAATTATTTCGCTTGTGAGCAGAAGGAGCAGAGCTTTCTGTTAAAGTTATGGGGCCCATTTTCTTCAGAATCATGCTAGTCATACCATTCCAAATAACTGTGGTTTCCTGTTGCATGGCACTGCCTTTTTGGAATGCCCCACCCAGGGAAGCATCAACTTGTTGTCTCTGTCTCACCTTGCTTTGAGGATCAGTTCATATTTATTTACTTACCTAAGTCAATGAAGGCAACAAATACTGACTCTAGAACAGCTTCCCCCATCCCCTCTCTCCTGTGCAGTGCCTGGCAATCTATCAAGGTCTTTAAAAAATACATCAAACCTGTGATGTTGACGCGCTAGCAGCTTGCAACAGCAGTTTCTCTGCCAATGCAAACTCTTGCTTTTTAATAAAGAATTTAAACCAGAGAAGTTAAACATTCATTGGTCTTTCTTCTGGAGGAGGAAGTAGGAGTTTGAATTGGCTCTACAGCTACCAGCCCTCTTCTTTAAAATAGAGAATATTCTTCTGTTGAGTAGAGACCGGAAAATCCTGTGCTGAGCTCCAAGAACGTAAGCCATTAAATAAGGCAAACAAAAACCCACCAACCTCCCCTATTTTATAACATTTTATTTAATACAACTAGCCATACATTCCTCTCTCTTTTTAACGTTTTCGTCACTCGTGCCTTTCTCAAAAAGTAATTAGCACTTTAACTTTAACCTCAGTAACTCTCTCACAGTAATGTAGCATATATGCAGAGTGTATTATTCTATATCTGCATACAATAATAGAAAAGCATACTTCCAGCTTTAGGAAAATATGCCAGTTCCTTTTGCTTTATGTAAGGCCTCTTTGTGTATTTATCCAGATAAACCATGGAAACTCATGATATTTATAAGCAGCTATTGTGGGTAAAGATAGCTGGTACAGTGGTACCTCGCAAGACGAATGCCTCGCAAGACAAAAAATTCGCTAGACGAAAGGGTTTTTTGTTTTTTGAGCTGCTTCGCAAGACGATTTTCCCTATGGGCTTGCTTCGCAAGACGGAAACGTCTTGCAAGTTTGTTTCCTTTTTCTTAACACCGTTAATACAGTTGCGACTTGACTTTGAGGAGCAACTCATAGAACGCGGTGTGGTAGCCTTTTTTGAGGTTTTTAAAGACTTTGGTGATTTTTGAAGCTTTTCCAAAACTTTCCAGACACCGTGCTTCGCAAGACGAAAAAAATCGCAAGACGAAAAAATCGCAAGACGAAAAAATTGCGGAACGAATTAATTTTGTCATGCGAGGCACCACTGTATGTCCACCACTTGGCTGTGTTAGAAATGGACAACTCTCCTTGACTTGATTTGGAATTGGCTTTGTATCAACTCAGGGTGTGCACCACCTATAAGACTTGGTTCAAATCCTGAGTTGGCACTTCAGAAACCTTGTGCTTCTGTCCAAAGTGCTTCTGAATCAGTCCCATTCAGCTCAAGTCCACTTTGGTGAGGCTGAGAGGTGGTTTGCCTTTCCCCTTCACTGTTGAGATAAGTAGCTATGACGCTTTTATTTTTGACATAAGTACATGAAACTTGCAGGCAATATTTGCCCCTCCAGAGTAGACAAAGTCTGCCAAATTACAGGCAAATAGGTAGGGTTTTTTTTTTGTTCTGGTACCTTTAAATTTTTGTTTATTTTTATTTTTCGTGTCATGGGAGTTTGGAAACTGCCATCTTGTGGACCCAATACTTTCCTCACTGCAAATTCCCCATAGTTGCCTGCCTAATCTGCCTGGGGAACGGTGGTAGGAGGATGACCATGGAGCAAATCCTTCCCTCTAACAAAGTTCTATAATAAAGAAATCTGAAAGCAGCTGGAGAATGGTGTTCAAGTGTTTGGTGTTTCTACTAAAATGTCCACAGAGGTAAAAGTTTCCTCTCATCGCCTTGAATAAAGTGATTGCAATACTAGGCTATGGGTAGCCTCTTTCTACACAGGGTGAAATTGGGAGCAGCCTTTCGAGCTTGTGCTCTTTCACCTTGTTCCCTTCCTTGTTCCACTTGCCACATGGACGAGTGAATGCCCAGACCTGGAGAAAAATCACCTTTATTTGAATGGTAGATCTCTCCTGACCTGAAATATGAAAATCCCTTTCTGTAGCATCTTTGATATATATAGTTTGGGAGATATCCCATGTCAAATAAAAATGGACCTGCTGATTTCAAGCCTTGCCCTTTATGTGTGGTTCTTCCTAAAATATAAATGGGGTGGGGAAAATTCAGGAAACCGCTGTGTGTGGAGGGCATAATATTTGAATGCCTTCGATGTCTTGCATGAAATAAAAAGGGAAATAAAAAAAAATCTATGTCTTGCCTGAAATAAAGAGGGAAATAAAAGATGCGCTGTACTTCTTCTTCTTCCAGTCCAGTCCCAAAGCATCTGAAAGAGCTATTTCAGCAATGGCCGAATGGCTTTGCAGCAGTCCAACGCCACCTGAGTCAGGTATGGCATGGAGTTTTTCGTTCAGACTTTCAAAACAGTGTATTTTTCTGAATTTAACTTCAAGATGGCTGCATCAGGCTTTAAAAGTGCAGACTAATGTACAAAACCACACATTTTACCCATTATAGGATATAAAAGGAATGTTTCCTGTGGTGGAAATAAATAGGATGGTTACCCACCGCTTCCATTGATTTTAAGTTCTACAGTAAATTCATGGGAACTGCAGCTGCTCTGCCTCTTTGAAAATCTGGCCACTGTTCCTAGTCCCAAAGGCCATATCCTGTACATACCTATTCAAGTGCTTAACCTTAGGCACCCAGGTTTGAATTTTCTCTCTCTCTCTCTTTTTGCATACATGATCAGAGGAGTTAATTTCATTGTTATGAGCCCACTATTCAAAAACAGCTATGCCACCTTGAAGTCAAGCTGTACGTCTAAAAAATCTAAAATACTTTCATTCTACAACAGAGAAGCTCTAAGATACTGAATCTTACAAAACATCAAAGTACTGGTGAACTGGGGAACACTTTGTATTTTGATTCTTTTAAATGTACTTTTATAGTAATAACCAGTAGCAGGGAAATTGTGATCAGGACGCAGTTTTCAATGTTCCACTGACTTGGTGGCCCTCTCCTGGGCTTCTGTCATGATGTCACCATACCCCTAAACGTGTGACCTTACAAAACACACAGGCCCCCAGCGATCCGCAAAAACTCTGCCCCATTGTGCTTCATCCCAAAATCTAAAACTAACTTTAGCTAACTCTGAAGTGAAATATTGTGATTTATAACAAAAAAGGTTACTTAGGGAAGTTGGATACTAAATTGTTCGGTTGGAATCTTTATCCTTTGATTATGTAGTTGGCTGAACAAAGCATTTTGATTCATTCTGTTCCAATTTAATTCCCCTTTGCAAATGACCTGATAGCTGACCCATTTTTTATGCTTAGTATCCCCAGGAAAACAAAAAAATATATAAAAATACAGTGATCCTTGTTAATCATGACATTTTTATATTTCATGTTCCAAGCCTTTGGTTTAAAAAAAAAAAAACAGGAACAAAAGTTATGCAAATAGATGAAGCCTTGCTATATTCTCTTAGTAAAATTCAGCATTAAAATTATTAAACTTTCACTCAGAGTGAACATAGTATTTTAATAGAATAGCCAAAGAAAAAAAGCCGTTCCTTCTTACTCTATAAATTGCTTTATGTTTTAACACACTGCAAATTAGGACTTTAAGTAAAGCTTCATTTTTCTTTTTTCTATATGCAAGGTTTGTTTAAGGTAGGTTGGGGTTTTTTTAAAAAAAATATTGAAGTAAGGCATGTTTTTCTTTCAGTATTACATTATGCTAGCTAAGAAAGATAATGATATATATTTGATTTGACATTTTAATGACTGTGCAATTCTAGCCATGTCTACTCAGAAGTAAATCCTATTGCTTTCAATAGGGCTTATTCCTGGGTATGTGGGAATAGGCAACTTCCGTCTGAATTAGAGTATGTCCAGACCAGAAGGCCATGGACTTTGGCATCCAGATAAAACTTAATAACAGCTCATAGGATGAGGCCTACATACTGGTGTGTAGACACACAACCCATTGAGATGTTTTTGTCCTTGGATGCTCATTTTTTCCACTGCTTGCCAGTACTGTGTTGATCATACCTTCCCCATAGCAGGCAAAAATTTGTGAACATTTGGTGATATCACAGCAGCTCAGCCAATAAGATTCAAATGTGGCAGGCAGGCAAACAGCAGATAGTTACCACCTTCATATTTTATGTAGGACTTTTGGTGTTGTTTCGTCATGTCTGACTCTTCATGACCCCATGGGCCAGAGCACGCCAGGCACTCCTGTCTTCCACTGCCTCCCGCAGTTTTGTCAAACTCAAGTTGGTAGCTTTGAGAACACTGTCCAACCATCTCGTCCTCTGTTGTCCCCTTCTCCTTGTGCCCTCCATCTTCCCCAACATCAGGGTCTTTTCCAGAGAGTCTTCTCATGAGGTGGCCAAAGTACTGGAGCCTCAGCTTCAGGATTTGTGCTTCCAGTGAGCACTCAGGGCTGATTTCCTTCAGAATGTGTAGGTTTGATCTTCTTGCAGCCCATGGGACTCTCAAGAGTCTCCTCCAGCACCATAATTCAAAAGCATCAATTCTTCGGTGATCAGCCTTCTTTATGGTCCAGCTCTTACTTCCATACATCACTACTGGGAAAACCATAGCTTTAACTATACAACCCTTTGTTGGCAAGGTGATGTCTCTGCTTTTTAAGATGCTGTCTAGGTTTGTCATCGCTTTTCTCCCCAAAAGCAGACATCTTTTAATTTCGTGACTGCTGTCACCATCTGCAGTGATCATGGAGCCCAAGAAAGTAAAATCTCTCACTGCCTTCATTTCTCCCCCTTCTATTTGCCAGGGGGTGATGGGGCCAGTGGCCATGATCTTCGTTTTTTTGATGTTGAGCTTCAGACCATATTTTGTGCTCTTCTTTTTCACCCTCATTAAAAGGTTCTTTAATTCCTCCTCACTTTCTGCCATCAAGGTTGTGTCATCTGCATATCTGATGTTGTTGATATTTCTTCCAGGCAATCTTATTTCCAGCTTGGGATTCATCCAGTCCAGCCTTTCGCATGATGAATTCTGCATATAAGTTAAATAAGCAGGGAGACAATATACAGCCTTGTCGTACTCCTTTCCCCATTTTGAACCAATAGTTGTTCCATAATGTCGGACTAAATATGCTAATGGAAAGTGAGGTTTGGGGGCTGTGTTGTGCTACTCATAGAAGTTGCTTTGCAGGAGGCATCGTTTCCTAAAAGTATTCTCCATTATACCTTTTGCTTGTCGTTTGTCCTTCCTTTCCACCCAACCGTAGCCCACTTCCAGGAAGAAAACTACAGCTCTGGCCGGTTGTGATACAGCTTTTTGCTGTATCAAGAAACACTTTGGTACATAACAAAGCTGCTCAAAGAAAAAGACACACACATATCCAAACCCATTTTTCTCTTCTACTTTTATTTTTAACCTTTTTTAAAAATAGAAAATTGGCTGACCACGGATTTATGAATTAGCAAGTCCATTATAATGATGAATGGAAATTACCATTTAAAACCTGAATCATTCATCAGACTGCTTGCTATGTGTCAGGTGACATAAGAATACATGAATACTTGTCATCTTAGTATTTCCTACCTGATATTTAAACTTGCATGAACTTTAGACTTTTGTACCAAGTGCTGGCTAATATAAATTAAAAAACAACAACACCCGAATATAAAGTAATTTTACATATAGTTTCAAAGGAATGAAAGGGAACATGTAGAAGACAATGTCATTAAGGGGGGGGGGGAGAAAGAAGCATTCTTCCCACCCCCAGACAAAAGCATCACAGAAGTCTCTTGGTTTTTTTTCAAAATATAAAGTCCTGTTGAGTATATGGTATCCCTAGACCGCCTTTATGGTTGAGGACTTTTACTGCCAGATTGATCTGTTCACCATCTTTCAGCGGGCCCCCACTGACAACAAAATATTCCATAAATGTTCCTTCTAGGTTTCTGAAATGAGCAAACACACCATATTCCAAGTGATAAGGATTTTGAGAGAAAAGCTAGCCTCCAAGATGATAGCTCGATGACATCCCACCCACGTTCAAATATGATTTCTACCGTAGGCTTAGCAGTTCATAAACTGAAGCCAACTTTCAGAGAGATCATTTAAATTGTGAAATGCTACCCAAAGACTGGGGAAGAAAAGACTGTATATTAATCTTGGCAGCAGATGGCAATTCTAGATCCAGAAGCTCAATGGTGTTGAGCTGAATGGAACATAACAAGTCTGTTATCCTAACAAAATGCAGCCTTTGTCTCTCAGAGGGCTAGAAATGCCCTCTCAGTATATGCATCCAATCACAGAAGAACATAAAGAGACAGTTAAACTGAGTAATGTTGCATAACTAAATGGCGAAATTTTCAAGTGGAATATAAAACCTGAAAGTATTGTTTTAATCAAAGATCTGATGGTCTTGTCAGTGCTTCATTATCCTGATGCAGTGTGTGGGTTTTTTGCCCCCCCCCCATATTTTTCCTCTTCCAAATACTAATGTTTCTGCAGAAACATGTAGGACCCAATCCTGCTTCCTCAGCAAGGCCTGATGAGCTTCCTCATAAGACTTCATCCCAACCTTCCACTCCCAACTGGATATGCCAGCGTACTGGATACACCGCAATGCAGTCACAGCAAGTAAAGGTGATCCCACTTTGAAGGATCCCTCTCTAATGGTTCTCCATTATATTTTTTAGAAATATCAGCCACGTAGCCTGATATTACTATTATTTTTAATTGTGTGTGAGGCTATTTTTGCTACTATTTTGCGGGGAAAGCTTTATTAAATATTTTTCTGCTCTTTCAAATTGAATTTGTGCTATTACAGTGGTACCTCGGGTTAAGTACTTAATTCGTTCAGGAGGTCCGTTCTTAACCTGAAATTGTTCTTAACCTGAAGCACCACTTTAGCTAATGGGGCCTCCCACTGCTGCCACACTGCCGGAGCACGATTTCTGTTCTCATCCTGAAGCAATGTTCTTAACCCGAGGTACTATTTCTGGGTTAGCGGAGTCTGTAACCTGAAGCGTATGTAACCCGAGGTACCACTGTAATTTGATTTCCCACCACCATCACCACCATTTTCTTCTTTGCCTCATTCCAAACCAACTAAAGACCACTTCCAAACCGCTGTGGCTCAAGAAGAGCCATGAGCTGGTAGCCAGTAGTTGAGACAAAAGGTCAATGTCAATAAACATGTCATGTGCCAGAACCAAGGGGGAGGCAGGAAAAGGTATTAAGGCAGCTGTGGTCAGGTCCAGAAGTCAGGACTGAAGGGTGAAGCCAAAAGGACTAGAGAGCAAACACAGTGTGGACACAGTAACAAACCAGAGGTCTCTCCAGACTGATGTCTCTGCAAAATATTATTGCATACCCTCCAACATTTCTCCGATGAAAATAGGGAAGTCCTATTCCATAATAATGATAATTTTATTTTTTTATAGCCTGCCCATCTGACTGGGTTGGCCCAGCCACTCTGGTCGGCTTCCAACATACAGAAAAACATAACTAAACATTAAACGTTAAAAAGCTTCCTTATAGAGGGCTGCCTTCAAGATGTCTTCTAAAGGTTGTATAGTTACTTACCTACTTGGCTTGGGGCTCATCATACCCTCCCAACATTTCTCCGATGAAAATAGGGATGTCCTAAGGAAAAGCAGGACAGTCTGGGATCCAGTCAGAAACCAGGATGGCTTCTGTAAATCTGGGACTGTCCCTGAAAAATAGGGACACTTGGAGGGTCTGCATCATGGTGCAATGATAGTGCATTAGTGGTGGGTTTATTTTGTTCTAGTTTGTTCTATCATGCTTCCCCCGTGATAACAGGTTACTGCTCTCCGGAGGGTCTGCAACACAACAAAAGTGTTACACAATGGAACTCATAGCTATATAGCTCCAATCCTACGATAACAGGTTACTGCCAAAGATTACGCTCACAGGATTGAGCCAAAATATGTAATTCTGTGTTGGCCAAGATGCCCAAACGCCATGATCAAGTAGCTTTTTCAGTCTAAAGCCAATTACACTCTACAGTTCTGTACTACTCAACAGCACTGTGAAAACCCTGGCTATATTATGCCAGCTGATGCAGCTGCTAACCCCTTACTAACACAGCGTTCTGGGTTCCTTTGTGCTGCCTAGTTCTTGCATCCCATTCTAAACATTTATATCCTTGAAACACTAAAAGAGAACACATGAGTGACTCGTATTTCTCCTTTTGCATTTCCACTGCATCCCATTTTGTTCCCATTTTGCAGGTTACAGCATGGCCTGTGCTTATTGTGGTAATGTTGGTTTAGGGCAAAAATGTGAGAAACTGAAACTTTAGATCAGATGCTTTTATATATATATTAAACATGTCACCCATTACCTTTTTCAATGAAAATAGAAACCAAAAGGACATAACGTTTGGGTGTACTTAGCCTAGGAAAAGCTTAGCAAGGTAACCAGGTAAGGATTTGTGTTCAACCCTCTCTAACAGGGTTGAAAACCTTGAATAGCAGCATTTAGCATAATACAGGCTCAAATAAGCAAACTGGTCTGCATTGATGTGTCAAACTGGAGACCCGCATCTTCCAAAAACTGCCTCTGTATGTCAGCATGTGAAGCTGATCTTTCCCAGCTGATGCTGGATTCAAGTTTCTTGGAAGCATTTTTGGTGGAGATGTGCCAAACAACCTTAAAAAATAAATCAGTTGCAGTAGAACAGGACAATCCCCCAAGGCTCAGAGGTAGGGTGAGTGTTTTGATACATGCATTACTAATTAACTGTGAAAAGTTTTGAACAGGCCCAATATCTGTGTGTGTGTGTGTGTGTGTGTGTGAGAGAGAGAGAGAGAGAGAGAGAGAGAGAGAGAGAGAGAGAGAGAAGTGCAATAGCTACCTTTTATTTGAAAGGTCATAAAAGGGTAGAAAAACAATTCCAACCCATGAAGTTAACCATACCACAATTTTGGAATATAACCTTTCGGTATCCCCCCTCCCTCCCCTCCCCCCTCCTTTTTTTACAAGATGTGATGCTTCATGTCAAAGACAGTATTCCATATCATAACTCATTTGACATAACTTCAGGTGATGCAAATTTTTTATAACACTTGTTTCTCCTTTTACCCCTCCTCCAATATATTTCTTTTTCCAGACAATAATGACTTCAACCTGGAAAAAGGCTTACGGCTCAGTCAGAACTAGCCTAAATCTAACCTTCAGTTTGGAGTCTTGGATAATGAGGTAAAATATGTATTATTCACTCGACTACCTTTGGACTCAAATGACAAAAGGGAGTGAATATTCCAGGCCCAACACATTCTTAGTTTAGGAATCTCAAGAGACATTTTGCAACTGTGCTATTGCAGCTTGATTTTTGGACAGTGAGGAAGAAATAATGATACTTTTCATGGATTTTAAAAGGTGTTTCTATGGCTCTCTGGCAGCCTTAAACAAGTCTTAGCACTGGTAAATAAATGAACTGTTAAGCCACTTTAACATCTGAAAAATAAGCTGCAGGTCCATTATCATCCGAACATGTTTCACTCTTCCCAGTGTCAAATCTCTAGGCTGTAATTCTGAGGTAAGGTGAGTTTTCATTTCAACCTTTTCAAGTAGCTCCTTACAGAGCACGAAATGAAAGAAAACAGTTAATCTTAAACAAAAGAATATAAATAAATGCCACATGAGTGTTCTCGTGAATTAGTTTTGCTAATGCTAATTAGAATACTCATTTGTCCAGAAAAAACCCCCATGGCAGATGACTTTTGTTTGCAGTTGGATTTATCGCAAAGCATAATATGACAATCGTGTACACTAGAATCTAGTTTACTAGCCATTGCAATATCTGGATAATCTTCTAGTTTCAGTTATAAATACGCCACTCTTTTTTGCTTCTTCTTTCAGAGAAAAATGTCTGTCAAATACAAGTGTGGATACATGCCGGACTTCCCCACTGCTGTTTGAGTCGCAGCTGAGCAAAGTGAGGTAGCCTAGGTAATGTTGTGTAGGCAGGGCAATGTCGCACATCAATAGAAGCCTCTTAAGTGCTTGTCAGGTGTAAATCAATGTCATCATTGACATGGGGAAGGACCTTTGCAGAAATGCAATAGCTGTCCTGTTCAAAGGAACCCTTAACACCTCCTTTATTGACCCAACCCATGCCCCAAATGAACAGCCCTTGCTTGTTTTCTACAAGGCACATACACACATGACATGCGTACAGTAGGGCTGAGTGTAAGGGCTTGTCCACACTGCAACAAAATGTGAACTCCAGGCCAGTGCTGTCCCAGACATCTCCCACTTTAAATAAGAACACACACACCCTGCCCCAATTCAGACTTTCCAAGGATCGAAAGTCCCCATGTTTTAAGGGAGGGGGATCTGGGACAATAATGGGATGGGGAGCATGTCACATAGCTGTCAACATTTCCCCCTTTTTAAGGGAAATTCCCTTATTCTGAATAGGATTCCTCGCAAGAAAAGGGAAAAGTTGACAGCTATGATGTCATGTTAATGGGGAGGCAGGCAAATGCAAACCCCACATTTTGCTCTGGTGTGGACAAGCCCTAAGAGTCAAATTACAAAGAGGTCTAAGAAACACCTGTTTTCAGAACAAGTGGGAATGGGAAAGATGATGTGAAATGGAGAGAAGCGGAGAGGAGAGTTGCCTAAGCCTTTCCCCACCCCCACACTGTTTCTCATTACAAATCACAGTCTTGGGAACCCATCTGGGAGAAGCAGAGAAGTAGTTGGTGTAAAAGGGATCCTTCTGACACTTTCCTGCTCCACGTTGTCCCTTTTTGTGGAAAAGGAGCTACTGGGGAGTTGTTAAGTGTGTTTGCATGCATTGCCTAGTCTGATCTTCTGTTACCCTGTTATACCGTCCAAGTTTGATAACATGCACAAGGCTAGTTAAAGGGGTCAGTTGCAGATAATTAGTCAAAGACTGCTTTGAATCAGAGGTTTTCAGAACAGAACAAGTTACCACCTTCCCACAAAGATGCCATCATAGGCATGCACAGCACATCAGAGTGCTCACCCAGGGGATTTTTTTATTTAAAGGCAAACATTTATTGAATACATACTCATACTCAACCATAAAGGACATTGTTTTCATTCACCAAACAAACTAAAGAAACTCCCTGCCCTATACTTCGTTGGTTTCCGTGGTTTGGCTGCCCACGCGTAGGACTCTGAGGGCTTTCTGAAAGCCCATGATCACATAAAGGTAAACATGTGTCCTGTTCGCAAGATGCTGCAAGACAATCTTTATTCGAAGATGTGAAAATTCTTACTGCTTTGAATAAATGTACACAGAAGCATGTGACTCTTCCAAAAGCATAAAAGGGAAAACACCCTTGAAAATAATGCCAGCTATATACTGTCCATCAAAAGGATGTTTTAAGAGAAGAGGGGTTTAAACTGCAGAACCGAACACGGCCAGTTTGGAAAGGTTAAATTTGCTCAGCTAAGGTGATCCCTTCGGTGGTGGGTACTATTACTAAGATTCCGTAGTTATCCTCCGCACTGAATAAAAAAAAATATTCATGCCTTTAGGGGTTGTAGGGTCCTTGCTGTGATTTACATAACTTGCTGTCAGCTGGCATGGCAGACACCAATTATAGGGAACTTTGGAAAGGCGCTACCTGTAGCTCTCAGTGGAAGCCATGTTTCTGTTGTATTAAATCTGTACAGAAATGACAGTGGGGGGAAAGGAGAAAAATAAATGGTGCTGTGAATGTTACAAGTAAACCTTTGGGAACAACAATGTAAGTAGGAGAGTGATACAGATAATGCGGTTTTGCTTAGTGTAGCACTGAATACCCAAAGTCAGGAAAATGGAAATACAACACACACACACACACACACACACACACGACTATATATAATAGTCACTCTACAATGTCAACTGTGCCAAGTAAATCCCTAGAAAGCTTAAAGGAATGTTATAATTTTGCTTAGAATGGAAAATAGGTTTGACTGGTCAGGTAATAAATTAACAAAAAAATAAGTTAGTTACAGGAGTCTTATAATTGCTAGGCGTGTTGCAATATGTGTCCAAATAAGACACTGGATAGAAATTAATTTCACCCATGCAGATCTTAGAGCGGGGAACCAGGGCCCCCCAACTACTCATGGACTTGACACCTGATCATGGATCTACTTTCCAAGGAGCAGCCACTACCTGCTAGATCCATAGCCACATTTTCAGATCCAGGTATCTTTTCTTCTCCCCTGCCTTGCTTCAGTCCATTGGCTCATAAGACAATAAGTTGCTGAGTCCTTCCTCTGTTCCCTGAATAGTGCCATCAAGGCCATGGCAATGAGGCAGAAAGCTCTTCCCAGTATATTGTTATGTGTTTGTGGGTTCCAGACACACATAATTCCTTGGTTTAGTAAGTATTAGAATTTAATCAATTATTGGAGAGTTAAACTGGAAGTCAGACTCTTAATAGCTGGACTCGGCTTCCTGAGTTCAGGAGATTTCCTGAGAGATGGGCCATTAACAGGGAAAAACACAGGGAGATGGGCCATTAGCAAAGCAATGTCTGTACCAGCTGGCAAATGGTTGGATCCCCTCCTGAGCTCTTGGATGGCTAGCATATAGAAATCAGAGTGGAGAACTTTAGGATCTCAGTTGGGGATGATATGGACTGGAGGAAAATAGTTGCAGTTGGTGGAATGTGGCAAGCTGGAGAGAGGATGCATATTTTTGAATCCAAGGCGGCTGTGGCTATGGGAGAAGCAAGAAGCTTTTATGGGTGTCAATGCTGTAAGCATCATATGCTCTGGTTGTATATATGTGTAAATAAACCATATATCATAAAGAAACCCCAAGCTCCACTGTGCCTCATTCCCAAAGGAGACACAAACCCTGAGTAAGAACACTGAAACATTGCACCACTTGGAAATTGGGGTGGCATGTAACAATATCGTTCTAGACTCCTGCTTCAGGTTTATTGTTACAGCTGATAGGAAATAGTTCATTGTACTTCTAAAATTATTGCCTGCCAGAGCTCTAGCCACACTCCTCACTCTTCTGAGGACTGCTTCATCTTTACTTTTCACCTTCTTTGGCCTACAATATCTCATTGCATCCACTGGTTTTCTCAGTGTCTTCAGTACATTTTAATTCTACTGAAAAACTGCAGAGGCACAGTACTTTTACCCAGAGTGTTTGGCCCCTTTATACCCAGCAGATCAACTAACTTTTTAAATAGAAAACTGGAGTTCTCCCTGACCTTGGAAAAGGCTGGAGAAATCTATTCTGATCTCCTCCCCACCCCGCTCCATGTTTATGAACGAGTCCTGGTGAGCTTTGCAGTCTAGGAGAACTAGAGGCAAATAATTTTATAGAGTGTTTTTGCATATATTATTAAGATTCAAGCCCTGATTCTCTCTCCCCCCCCCACAAGAAAACATTATAAATAGTGTCTCAAAAACCTGTGATATCCACTTTGTTAAGTGTTGGGTTCAAGAGATTAAGGGCAATGACTGGCATATAGTTCACTTTTATTTCCATCTCGCTGCAACCTCACATCGCTATACATCTGTTTTGTTGATTCAGAAGAGCACTTGAGCGCCTTTACAGTTGATTTTGACAAGTGCTACAATTTGATATGGGTAGATAATTCTTGCTGAGATGATTTCGAAGTACAGAAATTATAATTTTGAGTAGATATTACCTTTCTTTATGATCAGAAATTTCATGTAATATACTGTGCACTTAAGCATCTTAATCACATTTTTTCTCCCTCTCTCTCTTTTTTTTATAAAAAAAATACATTACATTATTTTCATCTAATCGAGCAAAGTATATTGCAAATTAAAATATTGTTCTAAATATATCTGGGTCCCCTCCCCCTTCCTCCTGCTTGGTGAAGAAGATCCTTTAAAGAAGAACAACAAAAAAGGAACATTAAAAATGTTCATTCCTAACCTTCTCTTCAAAACTATTTGGTTTGGGATTTAATTAAACAGTAAGACATGACAGACTGTACAGGAGGGCTCATTAATGCACACCTTGGGTACATTTCACCTCCTGCTTCTTGCACAGCTGAGGTGTGGATTAATCAGCGCTACCCCTTGGCCCAGAGCATTTATTGTGATTATAAAATGACCACTTGGAAAAAAAAATAAAACAAAATGTTCTAACGTCAGGAAAGATCATCCATCATGCCTGATGATTAGGAGTTAAGAGCAACATTAAAAGGAAGAGGGGGGGGGAAGCTGTTCATGTTTTATGCAGTGGTGCAAACAGAGTTTTCCTCCTGTTTGGAAGAACTTTATGATTCTTCAAAAGCTTTATTTTTGTTCAGTGGCAAAGCATAATCAAAGATGTAACAGGACAGCTTCGCATTAGATAGCGGTAGTATAGCCTATTCATCCAGAGTAGATGTGATGGGAGAAGCCACATTTGTTGAATCATGTGCTCATCCCACTTATATATAAAGCTGACAGTGGGACTTAAGCAGGTTCTTGTTTGTTTATATGGCTCTGGGCAACTATGCCTACAGGACTGCCTTTCCCCTATATGAACCTGCCCAGACCTAAGACCATCATCTGAGGGCCTCCTCTGCAGTAGTTCCCTTTTTATAAAGTGCTCTCCCAAGGGAGGCCCGACTGGTGCTAACCTTGTCATGAAATGACAAGTGTCATGCAAAGGTGGTTTTTTGGGTGCCACACAAAAGTGTTTTTTGTTTCTCCGGGCACTGGGTAGCACAACACGATACTGTACAGCTAAATCTGTTTTTACTATGATTTCAGCATTGCGATTTTTTACTTTGGTTGTAAATAGCTTCAGGTCTTTTGTGTGTGTTTGTGTGGAAAGCAATGTATACATATTCACCCACCCTTAAAAGGTAAAGGGACCCCTGACCATTAGGTCCAGTCATGACTGACTCTGGGGTTGCGGCGCTCATCTCGCTTTATTGGCCGAGGGAGCCGGCGTACAGCTTCCGGGTCATGCGGCCAGCATGACTAAGCCACTTCTGGCGAACCAGAGCAGCGCACGGAAACGCCGTTTACCTTCCTGCTGGAGCGGTACCTATTTATCTACTTGCACTTTGACGTGCTTTCGAACTGCTAGTTTGGCAGGAGCAGGCACCGAGCAACGGGAGCTCGCCCCATCGCGGGGATTCGAACTGCCAACCTTCTGATCAGCAAGCCCTAGGCTCTGTGGTTTAACCCACAGCGCCACCCATGTCCCTGTCACCCACCCTTACTCCGCTGAAAAATATTGGGAAATAGAACCAGTAGCAACAGTTCTCAGTTATATTGACCGAGTGGAAAGGAGGCAGCTTGATAATTACCTGTGTGTCAGCAGACTTGATCGGAGGCTCCAGATGTTCCTTCCAGAGGACCATGGAAACTGATCCATTTGAAAAAGAGAGAACTCAGCTTCGAGATTTGTAAGTTGAAAACTAGTAAAGTTCCCAGCTGTTGGTGCACCGCCGCCGCTGCCCCACACCACAAATTTTCTCTCAAGAGGAATATAGCCCAAAGCTCAGAAAATGCTAAAAGGGACTTGTAGTAAAAGCTGCTCAATTGTGGAGAAGTGTTCATGGTCCCCAAAGAGCAGAACAGAGGGAGATAGTAGCTGGAGGGGTGGGAAACAACCATCAAAAGATAACAAAGGAAGGAGAGGGCTCAGAAAGCTGTGGGAATTGCAAGATGGTATGTACCAGGGGGAAAAAATTATTAGAGCAGCAGGGTGGAATGGTGTTTTGTTTTGTTTTTAAAAAATCTAGATCCCAGTCATGCCTCAACAATCAGGATCTGATCGCATAAAGCTAGTGTGGCGTAATGGTTAGATTGTTCCACTATGACCTGGAAGAGACCAGGGTTCGAATCCCTACTCATCCATGAAGCTCACTGCGTGACCTTGGGCCATTCACCATCTCTTAGCCTAACCTTCTTCACAGGGTTGTTGTGAGGGTGAAATGGGGAGAAGGAGGACCGTGTACACCACCTTGAGCTCCTTGGGCGATAAAGGTAGTATATAATTTTTAAAAAATCATATAATTTTTAAAAAAATTATGGGAAGAGCTCCTCAGTAATGCAAGAAACTCTGTCAGTAAGAAAACTGCAAGCATGAACCAGTGATACTGAAATAAGTTTTAAATACATTGCAAATGACTTTAACTATACTGTTTAAAATACTTGACATTTATTTATTTATTTTTTAAAAATATTGATTGAGAATTATTATTTTTTCTTGTCAAAATTTCAGGGGGGAAATGTTAAGACAGTGTATTGTTAATAATGATAATGATAATTATTGATGTTTAATAATAATAATAATAATAATAATAATAATAATAATAATGTCCCAGAATTGACTTTGCTGGTTCTTTTTCCTCATAAAAGAACTACACCCTGTGCTTTATTTGCTATTGTTGCTTTTTTTTCTGAATGAACATAAAAATGATGAGCCAGCTTTTAGTGATTTATTCTTTTTGCACTGCACTTTGCTTTTTCTATGGAGTTTAGAGTGCATAATTAAAATCATATCACTGATTTGTGTCCAGCTGGATTGTGTGGTGTGTGTTTTTTTTACTCGTGTGAATAATTTCCACGCAGATAAATAATCTTGCTGAGGTCCATTGGACTTCCCATAAGCAAGGGCAGCACGGGTAGTTAGTGTTTGTAAGATCAATCTTGGAAATAGCAACGTACAAGCAAAGCAATGCACTGTAACTCATGCCTAGCTATAGATACATAATATATTGCTTTGAACGAAGTCTCCTCTTGTGTTACATTTGTATTCATATATGTCAAAAATGCAACGTTGGTTCTTTTTAAAATAAATTGGAAGCGCTAGTCTATAGTGTATGATTATTTTATTAACTGATAAATCAGCCAGCTCTCAAGGGCATGGGGGAAATAGATTTATTTAATTTACAAATAAACTGTATCCATTCAGCATTTCCTTCCCTTGTTGGAAATGTATGTTGTAGTGTTGCTTGCCACTGAATCCCTTAAGCGGTGCAAGATTCCTGGGGTTCCAGGTTTCCTTTTGGAAATGAGGCACGGCAGACACTGTGGTGTCTTTTTGATATATGGTTTATTTACACATATATGCAGTCTGAGCCTACAATGGGGTCCACAGCATCAGCACCCCAAACGGGTCTTGTTTCCCCCCTAGCCACAGCTTTGGATTCAAACATACATCAAACATTGCCCTCAAATGCTGCTCTAGACATTCCAGCTTGTTGCTTTTTTATTCCAGGTCACATCACTCCTAAACACTAAACTCTGGCTTTTGTCCTCCTCACTATCTGTGAGCTGAGGTAGGGGCGCCACTCATTTGCCATCTCCCACAGAGTCCCTTCCTTTGTTCTCCTTACACCTCTCACCAGGAGGCTAGCTGGGCTATTCCAAAAATTAGAAGCCTCGGTTAGATCTTAACACTTGCTGAGTCCAGGAATTATGAGAGTCTGCCACCCAGTTTAACATCTCAAACCCTATAACAGTACTAACAACCACAGGTGCTTACAGATGCTTAAGCATTTTCTCAGATATCAGCAAAAAATGGTGCTTCTCGACCCTTTTTAAACAATAGCACACAAAATATGAAAGCGGGCACTTAACTGTGAGGGACTTGAAGCAGTGGCTTAGCGTGGGTTGCCAGTGCCCGGGGTAGCGGGCGCATTCAACTGCCTAATGGCATCTGCGTCACCCAGGAGAGTGTCGTTGCAGAGATAAGTAAAGAAGAGTTGTCCCTTTGTCTGGAGAGCTCACTTCCTGTTTCACACAGAGAAGCTGTTTTTAATGGAGCCCAGTGACAAAAGTGCACAGCTGTATTAAGGCAGTAGCGGGTGTTGAAATTTTGCATCCCTAACAATTTTGCTCCTGGGGGAACCACCCCTGCCTCCCCCTACATTAGTGATTCCTTTGGTCCTATGTTGCAGTTTTCTGCAAACAATGCTGTCAGGTACTATATTCAGTTTCATGATAGGCATACTTGGCCGTTGACTCTCTGAGTTGTCCCCTCATTCTCAATAAGGTTTTAAAACGTAGCTATTTTAATGTTACGGAAGTGGTTAGGGCAAGCGAAACCCAGAGCAAGGAGGGTCTGTCAATGACCCAAGCATTCTGGCAGATGATGTCATTGCTCCTAGTCTGGAAAAGTCCCCTCTGTTCCCTCTCCATTGCACCACCGGTTGTTTGACAGAGGCTTTTTTGGGTGTGTTCCACCAGGTTTCTAATATACTTAATATGTTAACTTTTAGGAGCATTTCCTCCTTTGTGTGCCTCTTCCATGTGAGGTCTGGAAGGTGGCAACGCAAGAACAGGCCTTCTCTGTAGTGGCTCCCCATTTGTGGAATGCTCTCCCCAGGGAGGTTCGCCTTGGGCCATCATTAAATAATTTTAAGTACCAGGTAGTGCTTTCTTCAACCAGGTCTTTGACTGGTTTACATTCTACAGCATTTTAAATGTGTCTGCGGCAAAGAGGGCTATTGTTTTGATGTTTTGTTTTACTAATAACTAACTAACTAACTAACTAACTAACTAACTAACTAAGGACACCTCATCCAGATGTTATTTTCATGTGCCGTTTCCCCCCTGTGACTCTTTAGTCTTTTTTGTAACTTACTGCCTCACATGCTTTTGTAAAAATGCATCTTGAGATATCCAGGTGTATAGATACTTTGTGATTCCATAAGGAGTTGTGTGGTAAATCATTCGATTAATAATGGCCATGATCCAGCCCAGATGAGCCACATTTACGTCCCAACACATGCTTATAGTGTCACATCAATCTTCTGAATTTAGAACAACTCTATGCCTCAGATCGGTATTTCTTTGGCTTTATGGATAGGTAGTCACTAACACCTGAGAATTTAGCCAAAGAGTAAATGGGCATTTCATTTCAGTCTATATAGTCCGGTACTCTGCTGAGTTAAGCTTGAGCTACTGTTTGTATTTATCTTGCTAATACACGTTTGGCTTCATTTGCTAATTCATACTAACCGATTTAATGGCCATGCTAACAACATGGGATAAAGATAGTATAAACGATAAATCCTTATACCCCAGTCTGTAAACCTTCCTCTAATTGAAGATTATTTCATAAATGATATTTTCAGGAATATAGTTGCTGAAAGCCAGCGTGGGATTTCCTGGATATATCCAGAATAGCAAATGTAGCATAAGTGAGTGGTCTCCCTGTACGTTTGTGGCATAATACTGCATTCAGGCATTGTTCTCCATTGGGCATAACCTGCCCTGTTCTCTGGCAGGAAGGGGTGTTATTGAAGTCCTTGACTTTGAGGTCTCAATCAGGAAGCATGAAAGAGAGGTGCTTTATGTTTAATACTTCGTTTCCGCCATCCAAAAAGGGAGCCTGCATATCGTCCCTGTGGGAATACATGTTGCTCTCCTCACACTGGGAAATGGAGAAGCCCAGTTAGCATCCAGCTTGTCAGTCTAGGCTCTTGGTTGTTCCTTTCTGGCTGTGCCCATACCTGCCCCACACTTGAAGTCATGTATGCTATCAGGTGTGTGACAGCGTTTGTGGGAAGTAACAACAACAACAACAACATTAGATGTTGTCAGGGGCTGGACTGAGGAGGAATGGTGGGGACCGTCCCCCCCTTCCCTTGAACCTTCTCAAGAACAGGAGACCAGTATAGACCAGTATAGATTTAGAACAGTGGTTTGCAGAAGGGCACAGTTCAGAGGCTGCATAGGAGAGAAGCTGGGAAATATTGGAAGAGGAACAACAGGAAGAAGCTGCAGCAGGGGAGAGACAGCTAACAGACTCAGTGTCTTTGGAAAGCATTCCTGGACACGCCCTCCCCCCAGGACCAGGGGGGAAGGTAGTAGAACAGAGAGCTCAGAGGGAGAAAGCTCAGATTAGCCGACACAGGGGTGACGTAGAATAGGGGAGACGTAGGGGGGGTGGGACTTTACTTGGAAGCAAGGCCATTATTTAGGGAAGGCTGCATTCCTTCGTTGCTTTCTGTGAATTATTGAATAAATTGTTTTGTAATACAGTGGTACCTCAGGTTAAGTACTTAATTCGATCCGGAGGTCCATTCTTAACCTGAAACTGTTCTTAACATGAAGCACCACTTTAGCTAATGGGGCCTCCTGCTGCCGCCGGAGCACGATTTCTGTTCTCATCCTGAAGCAAAGTTCTTAACCCGAGGTACTATTCCTGGGTTAGCGGAGTCTGTAACCTGAAGCGTACGTAACTCGAGCTACCACTGTAACTTTTATCGTTTCTCTGATTCTTGGCTGTCACAGTGGGAGGGATTCCCCGAACCCTGACAGATCTGTTTTCTAAGGATTGCATAGTTACTTACCTCCTTGACATCTGATGGGAGGGCGTTCCACAGGGTGGGCGCCACTACCGAGAAGACCCTCTGTCTGGTTCCCTGTAACCTCACTTCTCACTGTGAGGGAACCGCCAGAAGACCTTCGGAGCTGGACCTCAGTGTCTGGGCTGAATGACAGGGGTGGAGGCGCTCCTTCAGGTATACAGGGCCTTGGCCGTTTAGGACGTTATAGGCCAGCACCAACACTTTGAATTGTGCTTTGGACCCATGCTGTGCCTAGTTAGGCCTGCGAGGTCAGAGGTTGCTCCTGCTCGAGGGGCACGATTTCCATCCCAACAGGGAGGGCTGCCAGCTCAGTGGTTTAGCACATGCTTTCCATTCGAAAGATTCCTGCTTCAGCTGTGGAATGCCCAATACAGATAATATAGAAAGCGAGATGGACCTATGGCCTGACTTAATACGGGGCAGATTCCTAAGCTCCCTTTTTGAGACGTTGCCTAAGAAACAAGAAAGTAACTTAAATTCATTTATACTTGCCATTTCAGCACTTGTCGCACGCGGCAACATTTTGACTGCTATGCCGAGAAATAAAAGTGGTTGCTTTTATTCATCTCATACATTATCCAGCTACAGCCAATGTTTTGTTAAGAACTTCATACAAACTTTGTAGTGACTTTTCTTGGTGAGTTAAAAAAAAAAATCAGATGCAGTTTTGGTCACATTTTCAGTCTGTATCAAATTTTGGTTTCAGCATCTTAAGAAAAGAATGTACTGTATTAAATAAGCATGTATTTATCCACAGCAGATATCGCCTTCCACAATTATATCTGCTTCTAAAATAGAAGAAATAAATTCTCCCCCAAACCTTTACTATGGAATGAAATAACAAAGGTTCCTGTCAAGTCATTATGTCATATTATTGTTTTTCCATGAATATGAATCCAATAATGAAGTCTTAACGTTATCAGTAAGCAAGCTAAAGTGAGGTACAGTAATAGTATCTAGTGAAATAACATTTTCATTTTTTAAAAAAACAACCCAAAAACTAAAACCCACATTTCTGTTTATGTCTGTCACAGTTTGAGTTAATTGTTTATTTACGCTATTGGTTCTGATTTTTCTTCTGGTGAAAATGTGCACAGTATTGCCTACAATATATACCTGTATAACTTTCCCAAAGTGGTATAAAGTTACCTTAATAAATGGGGGTGAGTTTTCCTCATTAAAAACAACGCAAAATGCCCCATAAGTGGTATTTATGGAACCCTGCTTACGGAAAGTGGGAGATATCAAAGTTGTCGCCAGGGTCCCTTAGCCTGTCACGTCTACTTTCCCATGGAAATTACATTTCTATTTTCCTTTGGCACTTCAGAAAAATATCCCCAAAATGTTCAATGCCTTTAATTTAATGAATGCAATATTTTAAATGGAATATATTGAAAATGTAAAGGAACCCTGCGTGCCTTTTCCCCAATATGATTAATATTTTATTTTTTAAGAAAAGCAAATTAAAGAAAAATCCCCAACCTAAGGTCAACAGTGCCTGTTTAAGGGAACTATCATATTCTATTCTCTTCAATGCCCTGTCTTTTTCGGAATATTAATGGGGGAAAGAGTGACAAGAATGACTTAGACGTACATGTCAGGAGAAAGGGTCAGCTCTTGGCAGTAGGTTGTTAATTCACATCCATTAATGAAATTTATCCTCCTTACTGCTCCTTCTCTCTCTCTCTCTCTCTTTAAATAAAAAGGTCCTTTTTTGAGAGAACATCATGGACTTTTCACAGAAACTGAGAAGGGCCACAGGGGCAGGCCGAGGTAAGAGACTGACAATCTTCAGGTGATTAAGGAGACTCAAAGGCTAGGTAGACCTACAAAATGAATAACTATGGACCCAGAACCATGCCATAAGGCTCAATGGCTTGTGATTTGCAAGTTGATAAGACAAGAAGATTAATAATGCTGCATGATAATGGCTGCTCCCTCTCAGCTGGGGAGATGGTAATGATCTGATATTGCTGTAGGAGCAGTTCAGTGTGCTGCAGAGAGGAGGGTGCGGATTCACTCATCCCAATTGGCCCCCAGGATATAGAGATTTTGAAAAATGGGAATGCAGTTACAATTTTAATTAGATATAAAGTTTTTAATAATTTTGCTGAAATGAGGACTTCAAAGAACATATTTTGCAGCATTCAGGCCCATAACTCCTGAGTGACAGTTTTGGTTAATTTGCAAGTTTTCAGATCAAACTTTGCCCCTGGCTCCATGCTGAGGGTAAAGTAAAATGTCAATTTCTTTCCTCAGTGATCTCAAGCATCTTATTTAGGCAGGTGTGCTGAATTCTCTTATTCGGGAGATGTTAGCGGAACAAAACTACTCATTAAAATATATGCTTCAGTTGTTTTTTTTATTGAAAAGAAAAAGAAGAAAAAAATTAGCCACATAAATAAAATCAGGAGTAATAAAGGGAATCAATCAGCAAGAAAGATGTACAGCAATATACAGCATAAAATTTTAAAGAAGAATCAGAGTAATATTGTATATGAAAGGTGATTAAATGTTAGCATATGATTATACTGTCCTTGCATATTATTATCAAAGAATGTTTAATTTATACCCTTTTTTCAAATTATAGGTAGTTGTGCAAAAGGTTTTCTATCTCCCCCCCCCCCCGCCCCGTTCTAGACCTCCCACCCAAACCGGAAACCATTTATGCTGGAGATTTGAGGTCCTGAATTAATTACATTTGATATCCTGAAGTACATTAGTTTTTGGGCAGCCTACAAGCACTAATAATGGAGAAGGGCTGTTGTCAGTCAATTGATAGTCGCGATTCCGCTCCTGCCTCCTCTGTTTTACTTCCCAACTTGCAACTTGCAGGGAGAAAACAGGCTGCCAGGCAGTGGGTTTAACAAGCATCCTCTCGTGAGAAGCACATTAAAACAAAACAGAAAGGAAAAGGTGCTGCAACGCAGAAGCAAACACAGCAAATTGGTGGAAATAAGTTGCTTGTCATGCCTTATATATGGAAACGTTTCCTTGTTTGAGACACCACCTTGATGAGCAACTTGATGAGACTTTCTCTTTTTCTCCCTCTTTTGCTTCCCAGGGGTATATGTGATGTTACTTTGTTTTCAGCGCAAGACTGCTGAAGGAGCCCCTCTTGGTCGCCAGCAAAAGGGCCAGCTCCGCGAATCGTCTCCAAGGTCAGCGCCGTGGGATTTCCATTTGCTTCCTCGATGACAGTGTTGAAACGTCGGAACAATAGAACCTGACTGCTCAAAACTTCTCAGAGCATATACAGGTAGAAGTTTGCAAGTTTGGGATCATTTGAACTAGCGGTGTTAAAAGCAGCCTGAAATTAATCCGGACAACGAGCTTCATCTGTTATTTATGCTAGGTCTGACGCTTAGTGTCAGAAGCACTCCAAAGAATATTTAAACAGACCTTGAATAAAAAACACGCACAGGGAAGAATCGGTGTTGTCATCTCTGTAGGATGAATGTAGCGCGTTGCTATTCTGCATTTCCTCCCTCCCCCCATCACTTCTGCTCTTTTTGAAAATCTCCTTGGCACGCCAGATCACTTCCGCAAGCTCCTGCACGATGAAGTTCTTTCCGTGCTAAACATCACCTCGTAGGTAGTGAGCTCAGCGCCCTTTCTGGCATGCCTCAGGAGACAACTTACTACAAAGCGAAGCATACAAGGTCTGGAGTCCACTAAGAGACACTTCACACACGGACTTCCCCCTCTTCCCCTGCCCTCACAGATATTTCTGGGTAGGGTGAAATAGTTTTTTAGAAAGACTTAATGTGTGAAGAAGGCACATGATTGTATGTGTTGGGGAGAGGTTGACTTCCAAAATGTGAACCACAGCAAAATATGATCACACATTTCCTCCCCATGAATTAACATATGCATATTGAATCCCCGCGACGGGGTGAGCTCCCATTGCTCGGTCCCTGCTCCTGCCAACCTAGCAGTTCGAAAGCACGTCAAAGTGCAAGTAGATTAATAGGTACCGCTCCAGCGGGAAGGTAAACGGCGTTTCCGTGCGCTGCTCTGGTTCGCTAGAAGCGGTTTAGTCATGCTGGCCACATGACCCGGAAGCTGTACGCCGGCTCCCTCAGCCAATAAAGCGAGATGAGCGCCGCAACCCCAGAGTCGGCCACGACTGGACCTAATGGTCAGGGGTCCCTTTACCTTTACTTTCTCCCTTCTCCCAGTGCTTTTCATGCATAGGGATAATGGCCGCATCATGGCCTCTCACTGACATGGGGGAGCCTTTCTTTGTGTCCGCACATTTTGCTTTATTCAGTGCTAGTTCAAATTGAAACAGCATTCACACTGTGGCAGCACAACTCAGAGAAGCAATGAGTGGGGACAGTGAGCAAGCCAGCAAGCCTAGCCATCTTTGAGCTTCGCTGTTGCCACCAAGTGGATATCTTTAGCCCTCAGTAGGGACGCTGGTGGCGCTGTGGTCTAAACCACTGAGCCTCTTGGGCTTGCCGATCGGAAGGTCCGCGGTTCAAATCCCTGTGACGAGGTGAGCTCCCGATGCTCTGTCCCAGCTGCTGCCGACCTAGCAGTTCAAAAGCACACCAGTGCAAGTAGATAAATAGGTACCACTGCGGTGGGAAGGTAAATGGCATTTCCGTGCGCTCTGGTTTCCGTCACGGTGTTCTGTTGCACCAGAAGCGGTTTAGTCCTGCTGGCCACATGACCCGGAAAGCTGTCTGTGGACAAACGCCGGCTCCCTCGGCCTGAAAGCGAGATGAGCGCCGCACCCCATAGTCGTCTTTGACTGGACCTAACCGTCCAGAGGTCTTTGGTTGCTTCTACCTCTGGTGTGTATTATTATTATTATTATTATTATTATTATTATTATTATTATTATTATAGCTAAGGTTTGAGCAATGCACCATACATACAAACAAAAATAAATAAAAATAACAGGAAAACACATCAGTGCTCAGTTCTGTTTTTTGAATCCTGGATCTTCCATAGCAAGGGTGTCTCCCCAATGTTGCTGGACTCCGACTCCCATCATCCCTGACCATTGGCCATGCTGGATGTGCTTGATGGGAGTTGAATCCCAACAACATCTGGAGGGCCACAGTTTTCCTGTACCTGCACTACAGTCTGGTTGGCTGCTTTCAGTTCTGTCTTAAATAATTTTCTCCCTCTTCCAAATAAGTCTTGCTCAGAGGACTTGAAGCACTAGCTGAGCAGGACTTAAGTCTGCTATGTGTTCTGAAAATGTTGAGAGTGAGCTTGGAATGGAAGTAAGCCCAATGAAATCCCATGTCTCCCAGCTTAATTGATATCTTAAATGTTTATCTAACTGGGCTGGCATCCTATACCTTTCGGAATGAAATGTCATTGCATTCTAGTGATTATTGTGAGTGCAGCTGAGGTTTATTTATTCTTCCATTGGAAAAAACAACGTGTATGTGGTCCTTTGGCTTCCACTGGATTTACAGCAGTGTGGGTGGTTCCGTCACGCAGGGTGCCAAGCTGAGGGGGCGTGTAACTGAGAAGATCCATTTGGGGGGAATCAATCTTGGCCTTGCACTGCACACAATATTATGAAAGATTACCAAAGTCAGTCCCTGCCATAGGTGATAGTAGGGTTCAGCTGCACATGCAGTCTACTGGATCGCAGGGTTAAGAACATAAGAAGATCCTGCTACATCAGGCCAGTGGCCCATCTAGTTGCACATCCTGTTGTCACAGTGGCAAACAAGATACGTATGGGAAACCCAATAGCAGGACCTGAAGGCAACAGCGATTCTCCCTCCAGCAACTGTTAGTCTACCACCCACAGTGGAGGATTGTTTTTCTAATGGTTAATTGAATTCTTTATCCCCCTGCATTCCAAAACCTCTTCATTTGGTCTTTGATTTTAACTCGCGTGTCCACTTTATTTAACCCACCCATCTACCTTATTTTAGTATTATTTTTTTAAGGGCAGAAAAGAAGAGAGAGATCTATTCATAAGTAATATGAATCACCTCATACATTAAAAAAAGGACCAAATGTTCATCATGAATGATTAAAACAGCACGCAGCCATGATGCTTTGAAATCCAACAATATTTTGCACAGTATGTACATGTGGTTTATTAGGTGAAATTCAGTAAGGTGAGTGCTCTGTAGCACTTTTCTAGTCTGTTTTTGCAGCTGGATAATCCATCACATTCAGCTTTTCCCACTTCAACCAGTGCTTGTTATAACTCCTCATTTTGTGTCCAAGTGTTAAGATGATGGACAGCATTTGCTGATTCAAATTTATCTGTGCTTTAAAGAGAGAGAGAGAGAGTTGGATATCAGCTTTCAGATACCCAAGTTCTTTGCCCTTGTTGACGTGCTTCCCTTTCTGGTTTTGGCATTTATTCACATGAATTATTTTGTTAAAAATATAGAATTTATGAGTTACTAGAACACAGGATGAAAATAACCATTTGTGCAACCATTTTATATATAGCCGTTATATATAAAAACAATGAACTCTGTTCTCTGACTGTGGATCCTCATGTTGTCAAAATGGTTCCATCCCCCCAAACAAGAGGGAGGTATCAGTGGACTAAGGATACCCCAAGGTTTGCAGAAGCACTAAACAAAAATTATAGGGGGGGGGGGAATCCAGCTCATTAAAGACTGTGGATGTGAAGAGGCCATTGAATGTTTGCTTGCCATTGGGTTGGAGTGGACAAAATAGGGAAAGATGGACGGAATGGCATATCCTGAAAGTGGGCACAGTTGGCTGACTGAACAACAACACAACAACTTTGTTGCAGGTCAAACGAGACCCCCTTCTTTGCTCCTCAATGTCTCAAGAATCAGCCCTAGACTTTGCTGGATCCTGAACCAAAGGAATAAGGAATGGGTGAGAGATTTCAGTTGAACTTAACTCTTGCAGATGGCACAGAACTCAAATTCCTCACTTTGTTCTCAGCATCTCCATCCCCATCGTTCTGCCCGGACACTGAGGTCCAGCGCCGAGGGCCTTCTGGCGGTTCCCTCACTGCAAGAAGTGAGGCTACAGGGAATAAGGCAGAGGGTCTTCTCAGTAGTGGCACCTGCCCTGTGGAACGCCCTCCCATCAGATGTCAAGGAAATAAACAACTACCTGACTTTTAGAAGACATCTGAAGGCAGCTGTGTATAGAGATGTTTTAAATGTTTGATGTTTTATTGTGTTTTTAATATTCTGTTGGGAGCCACCCAGAGTGGCTGGGGAAACCAAGTCAGATGGGCGGGTTATAAATAATAAATTGTTGTTGTTGTTGTTAGCTTGCTTCAAGACTAGGTAGATCCCTCCCCTAGTCTTCCTTTTATTTTTACTTTATTCTCCCTCTCTAGGCTTTTGGGTAGTTAGGGACTCTCTCAATCTTTAGGACTAAGTTGTGTGTATGCACTGAATGATTATTTGCTGCCCACATATTTGTAACCTTATTGTCTTAAGCAGCACCCATATACTCTGTCCCTTTCCTCTCTGTGTAATAAACCAATCTTTTTTTCTATTTCCTGGTGTGATAAGTTATTTAGTAGGCTTGGGGCTTAAAGTATATACACACGTTCTTAATGGACATACATCCTGACTCTACTCAAAAGTTTCAATTCCTCCAAAGTCGAGATTCCTGCATTGCAGGACTACAAGACCATTGGGTCTTCTCCAACTCTACAGTTCTACGATTCTGTGATTCTAAGAGGGAACACTAGGTCTCTGCATGTGGTGGACATGTCTGTGACTTCAGGTGTACATCTAACACGTATCTTAGGAATGCTGGATATTTTTTACCGTGGCATAATGAAGTTATAAACACATGCAGAATAAATGCAGTTCAAGCAAATATCCAGGGCTTCCTTTGTGGTGCCAGTGTGGTGTAGTGGTTAAGAACGGTGGACTCGTAATCTGGTGAACTGGGTTTGATTCCCTGCTCCTCCACATGCAGCTGATGGGTGACCTTGGGCTAGTCTCACTTCTCTGAAGTCTCTCAGCCCCACTCACCTCACAGAGTGTTTGTTGTGTGAGAGGAAGGGAAAGGAGAATGTTAGCCGCTTTGAGACTCCTTTGGGTAGTGATAAAGCGGGATATCAAATCCAAACTCTTCTTCTTCTTCTTCTTTGATGCGTTTGTTGCAGCAGGTTTGACACCCAGTGAGGCAACGAAAGAGTGCCATGGATCACCATCCTGTTGCAGCTCTTCTAGCAAAATGTCAGGAGTAGGTTAGCAATAAAAAACACTGGTGTCAATGAAGTCAATGCTTTATTCAAAGTAACCAAAACAGTGCAGACCTAGTGATCGCAGCAACTCTTCCCAGTAGGGTGGAATATAAAAAATGTTCTGAAAATGCTTTTTTAAAAGTGTTTTTTTTAAATACATTGAATTTTCTATAAGGCTCACCATCACCATCTAGTGTCACATTAGTATGTGGCACTTAAAACATTTTATTTGCAGATATATAGCTTTCCCACCGTTCTCTAAGACTCCTCCCCATACCAGCCTAAGACTTCAATTTCTTGTCTTTCTTTGCTCCATCAGCTTCATCTCTCTGCATGTTCTGGGAGACCCGTGGGGAGGGAAGCTGGTCACAGCAGGAGGGGGAGACTCCCTGGCTTCTTCAGCAGCCTATCTCAACTCTACCTCTTGATCACCTTCTGCTTCTGGGCTGCTCTTTGCCGCAGCCTCTTCCTGCTCAGTAAATGACACCTCTTCTTCCCAGTTTGCCCCTTCTTCTCTCTCTGACTGCACATTGTCATCCCTTCTTCCCTTGGGGGTCCCCCAGCTGCTGCCTGCCTCCGCTTCTGCACCCAGCCAGTCCCTGGCAATCCCTGATTTGCAGTGCAAATCTCCATCATGTGCACAGAGCTCTCACCTGCGTGTGCATACTACTCCTTTCTAACCTTAAGCAAGGAATTTTGCACCCAGTTTCATTACTGCTAAAGGAGGATTAGTCTGCAATCCT